TGAGTTCTAGCTAATTACAAGATCTGATTCATCTAAATATCCCTTCTTATTTCAAGAAATCTTACCAAGCACATGTTCCCTTGTTCACTTGTTGTATTGGCAGGTTTGTTTATTTATTTCAAGTGAAAACTGCTTGAATTCATTATTGTTTAACTGGAGCAGTGTTTACCTTCAGAAGCAGCATCGTGAGCAGGACAGCGGCACTCTGAGAACTCCTCTCTGACAGCAGGGCCGCAGGCAGGAAGTCCACGAAGCTGTCGGGATCGGATCGGAGCTAAACAACAACAACAACAACCAGGTTATTAAAAAGTCACAAAAGCTAAAACATAGGATATCTTAAAGTGGACCTATCATGCTATATTTGAATAATATAGTGTAGGACCATACCTATATAAGGCATATTTATACTTTTTATTTTTCAAAATACCAAATAGATCATGCATTTTAGCCATTCCTCATTTCGCTCAATTTAACACTGCCTTTCACACTCGGATTCTGTGAGAACAGCACCATCTACAGGCCTGGCACATGTACTACAGCGTCTCCAGCGCTTTCCAACGGCAATGTCCGTGGCTGTCCTCCTGATTGGTGGAGTTGGCCCAATAGCCGTAGCGCCACTTCTGTGACGTCATAGAAGTGTTCAAATCTGGATCAGTCTGTATCAGATCCGTTGCAGCCCCTTTTTAAGAGATTTAGGTATGGAGGAAAATAGAGGGTTGTGTTTTGTGACACTTGGTGAGTTCCCTGGAACACCGGGGACACATGTTCATGTAGAAAAGACGTACACAAGTGCATTTTGCATGATAGGTCACCTTAAACTGAAATGGTCTTTATGGACTTTTGCAATCTTTTTCTTTGTCGTAGAAAGTGTAGAGGCAGTTGTGTTAATGGATGCTAAATATACTTAGAAGAACGAGGGGTCAATAGAAGCCCTGCAAGACTATTTTGAGCATAAACCCCACTAAGTAGTTCAATTTGGACTCATTAGCTTAACGTACTGCTTGTTCAGTTGACCTTGATATGCTTCACCTTGTGTAACCTTAAACTATTAAAGGAAACTTTCACATAGCTCCACAGTAATACTCAGAAGATACTGGATGCATTAAGGTGAATAGGTCCGTATTAATCTTATGTGTTCATACTTACCTTACTATTTAATACACTAAAGGATTTGCACAGAGGAGTAGTGGAAAGGTGAGACTGTTTTGCAGAAGTGTTGTGACTTGTGTTTGGGAAGTAGAGAACATACGAATAGAAACATGACATATCGATTCAACTGTATGGGTTGTGGGAGAGTTTGGAAATGGAGGCTTTGCTGTTAAACTCGGCCGATAATTCCTCAAATTCATCAGGATTTTTCTCCGTTTTTGGATCCTTCCTTCAGACTGGATGCAAACAAGAAATTAGAAGCTTTCTTTCAAAGAGTCAAGGTAAACACAGGGTGAGTATTTGATGAACAAACATTCATTTTGTGGGTGAATAATCCTCTAAAAGTGATTTCAGTTTCATTTCTCACCTCAGAAACACAGTTGGATGCCTGAGACAGGAAGCAGAGCTGCAGGATTGAGGTTGTTAGAGACAACAAAGCCAGGAGGAGCTGGAACCAGTTTCTGAACCGTCGAAAGTACTGGGAGCGCTCAGCAGACATCGACCAAAACCCCCCGGACAACATGAGGAGAGCGGAGACCAGGAGAAGCACCTGCAGCAAGAGAGACATCGATTTTATCACTGAAATAATGTTTGAATCTTTTGCTCAATAATTTGTTTCACGTCTGATTAAAATTATTTATGGTTTTGCAGGGATTGCTGACTCATTCCAGGTAAAGACTCAGTCCTGCACCACTTTAATTGAAAAGTGTGTGTGTTACCGTGAGTGCTGCCTGCAGGTCGGGTCCAGAGTGAGGAGAAGGGATGAGGAAAGGAAGGATGGAGAGGAAGGAGGCGAGTCTCTGTGAGCGAACCCACTCCAGTTTGATGGAAACACACACAAACAAACCGGACTCTCTGTGGAAGTGTGTGAAGTCGAGGGAAAGGGTTTTAAACCTGGGAGGGAAATTTAAAACAACAGAAAACACAATATTAAGTGGTTTCATTTGAAAACAGTAGCATGTATTGTTTAGTTTGCAGGGATGCATGTCATCTAGGTACTCAACTTGCAGCACAACTGTATATATTTATATTAAATGAATAAAAAGTATATCATCAAAAAAAGTTAAGTTATTTCTCTCCTTCTGCTTCTTCTCTTGTTCTTTCCGTAACGTATCCACTCACTGTCTGTTGGTCCACTCAGACATGTGTAAGTCATTGAAGAGCTGCTGCGTCGTTACGCTGCTGTTTCCCAGATACACCGTTTCCAGAGGAGGGAGAGTGTGTGTGTGAGGAGGCAGAGTGTGTGTGTGAGGAGGGAGAGTGTGTGTGTGAGGAGGCAGAGTGTGTGTGTGAGGACGGAGAGTGTGTGTGTGAGGAGGCAGAGTGTGTGTGTGCTGCAGACGGGGTAATCCAACAAGCTGAAGTCAACACTTCAGCTTGTTGGATTACCCCGTCTGCAGCACACACACACTCTGCCTCCTCACACACACACTCTCCGTCCTCACACACACACTCTGCCTCCTCACACANGTAGAAGAGACATGAAGAAGAGGGGACACATGTTGATGTAGAAGAGACATGGAGAAGAGGGGACACATGTTGATGTAGAAGAGACATGAAGAAATGGATTTAGCATGATAGATTACCTTTAAACTAATGATGAGTCTCACCCAATCTGTCCACAGATGGATGCTGGACAGACTGCCGTGACGTTGTTGGACAGAAGGGAGATTCGGGAGAATGTGACCCGAGTCCTGGCGTCTCTCCCGGTGAGCTCCATGCTGAATGTAGATCAGATCAGCTCAGCTCTGTCACTGTCTACTGTAAGTAACCACTGTTTGTTTCCCTATCATTCACAGTCCCAAATATTTAGAAAATATGTGTAGTGCCAACTGTATTCTTTGCAAACACAGAAAGGAGGAAAAGAGACCAAAAAGACACAAAGATATTTCACGCAACAGCTTAACATCGTACAGATTATTCCTTCTTTTTCAACATTTTAAGCATAAAAATAGCAAAAGACACGTCTATTTCTGTTTTCTGAAGGCTGTTCCTAGTGAACTTGTGAGTGAAAAGTGCCAAGAGAAGGTTCTGGAAGCTGTTGGGAAGATGATCCATGTCATGGAGGAGCAGATGAGTCCTGGTGTGTTGTCAGCGGTGGAAACAGGGAGGAACATCCTCAACATCATAGGTGCTTTTCAAAAAGTATCTCATGCATGGATCACTCATAATCTCATGGTTAACCCTTATGTTGTGTTCGGGTCTCCCATGAACCGTTTCAAGTTTAAATGATATAATAACTACTAGTGTTGTAGTCGAGACCACCTTATCCGAGACCAAGACATTACTGAGACCGGAGAGTAGCAAGACCAAGTCAAGACCAAGACTTTAAGAGGGCGAGACCAAGTCAAGACCAAGACTTTAAGAGGGCGAGACCAAGTCAAGACCAAGGGCGAGACCGAGTCAAGACCAAGTCAAGACCAAGACTTTAAGAGGGCGAGACCGAGTCAAGACCAAGACTTTAAGAGGGCGAGACCAAGTCAAGACCAAGTCAAGACCAATACTTTAAGAGGGCGAGACCAAGTCAAGACCAAGACTTTAAGAGGTCGAGACCAAGTCAAGACCAAGACTTTAAGAGGGCGAGACCAAGTCAACACCAAGACCAAGTTCGAGACCGAGTCAAGACCAAGACTTTAAGAGGGCGAGACCAAGTCAAGACCAAGTCAAGACCAAGACTTTAAGAGGGCGAGACCAAGTCAAGACTAAGACTTTAAGAGGGTGAGACCAAGTCAAGACCGAGTCAAGACCAAGACTTTAAGAGGGCAATACCGAGTCAAGACCAAGACCAAGGTCGAGACCGAGTCAAGACTACTGTGAATCCAACACTTCATGATAGACTTACAATACCATGTGTAAGATACCAGAGTCAATTTGATCTGAAAGATCCACATCATCATAAAAAGACACACATACGTAAGATATAAATTCAACTTCATTACATTACATGTCACTTGTTAGATATTTATTCAAAAAGTTATCCTTTTCATATAAAAACAGTAACATAGTAAGAACATAATATATAACATCATAATATACATTTTACGGTATATAGGTCTAAGCAACAAACAAACAAACCAGGAACCACTGTTGAAGACAAACACACACAGGATGAAGGAAAACCCTTTAACATACACACACACACACACACACACACACACACACACACACACACACACACACACACACACACACACACACACACACACACACACACACACACACACACACACACACACACACACACACACACACACACACACACGCACACACACACGCACCACGCACGCACACACGCACACACACACACACACACACACACACATGCCAATTTGTGTTGCCAAATGTAATGATTGATGAATTTTGCGACATCTTCACTGCAAGAGCGTTTGAGTGTGTGAAGGGGGTGGCGACAGGTGGGGGGGTAGCAGCCGGTATAGACCAGTCCCTTGTTTACAAACATTGCGGCGCATGAGGGCAAAGATTCAGAGTCACGTGAAGTCACGTTACTGGTTGAATTGTTTAAACAGGGCGGTTTACATCCAATCACATCCCCAGCAACAGCCGTGGTCTCGACCATGGATGTATAATAAGAACGGTCTCGACCGGCCTTGACATCAAATCTCGTGACCTATAGGTCCGAGGCCGAGACAAGACCGAGACCAAATGCAGTCGATTCCGAGACAAGACCAAGACCGTTAAAAAGTCCGGTCTCGAGTACTACAACCCTAATAACTACCCTCTAGTTTTTTTTATTGGAACTATAGTTAATAATATAAAGTTGTAAAAACGTTTTGGGGGGAAATTGTATTCTAATATTAGTCCATATTATCCACTGTGTGTACTATAGGGAATATAATGAGTTCATTCAATCCCATTTCCTACTTAAAGATATGTGTTTTGGGGCCATAAATAAAAAGATGACAACAGGAGTGTGAGGTTGTGAATGCATAATAAGTTAGTGATGATGTAGTTAAAACAATATTGCATGATAGTCATTATTTTTGAGCGTTTTGGACTTCATGCGAACACCATGACCGGAAACAGCTTTCGAACACAACACAAGGGTTAAATGAACAAATCAAATATATTGTTGTGTTCTCTTTGTTTCCAGGTAGCACCTTGGCGGCTGTATCTATCAGAGCTTCCAGTTCTCACCACGACACTCTTCATTTAGCGTCCTCTAATGTCCTCTTAGCGCTAAATCACGCAGGGGCCCTGATGCGCTCCCTGATGCACGCCCAAATGAATGATAAGGCGCCTCTTTTGCTCTCCAACGATTACATCAACACAGTTTCTTTCCATGGAGACCCCTCTGAACTCCTCTGCACTCAAAAGTCCAACCAACACCAGATCATACCTTCTCATAAATGTCAGTTTCTCATCCCCTCCTCTCTTACTGACCACCTGCAGAACCAGAAGACTGAGATAGTTCAAGTTCTGTTTGACGCAGATATTGGATCAAATCCGTTCCTGACTGCAGCCGATCCTCCGATTTCCACCTCTCTGGTTGCAATGGAGCTCACTACACCTCAAGGCCAACCAATCACCATACAGGATCTGGACCCTGATCAGGCCATACGGGTCACCCTGCCCAACAAACACCATATTGGGCAGGATGATGGGGGTGGAGCAGGGAATGGGACTTGTCTTACGGTGATGTTGCCATCTGAAGGGATGTTAAACTTTACAGTCAAGGCTGTGGACGGACTGGATGAAAACGCAGGGTCATATATTTCCTTCAACTTCAGCCTGGACTCAGGTACAGAACAATATTTACCTTTCACTGGATCTAACCAGTCTTTTTACAGATCTTAAAGAGACCCTATTGTGCCTTTTTGAATTTTTCGCCTTTCCTGTAGTGATTTCTATAGATTTGTGTGCATGTAAATGGTCTGTAAATGATAAAATTATGAGTTTCTGCCAAAATTATCCATTAAAAAAACTGGCTTTATTTTGTATTAATCAGGAAAAGGAACCAGCCTCCTGTCATTTCAATAACGTTATAATAATACAGTTTGAACATTTTTAGTGAGCTCCCCAAGTCTCAGTAATGCAAGACTTTTCCTGAATGAACAACTGTGGATGTGACATATCTAGACAGATGTACACACGACATTTCAGGAAGTCTATAAATCAAGACGCTGAACTTTATTTTAAAGTCGGTCAAGCAGCACCTAAATAAATATTAATTACCCCTAAAGAAAGAAATCTGTGAGTTAGTGCATGAATTATGAATCCCAAAGGCTGTTTTCTAACCGCATTATGCATATTCAGGAGCTACTCCAGTGAGTCTGGGACATGTCCGGATAGAAGTGAGCTCTGCAGTGCCGGGGACTAATGCATCCTGGGATTCCCTGGTGAGGGAGTGGGCTCTAAATCTGTCTGATGTGACCCCTTTCATGGAGGAAACCATCTTCCTGTCTCCACTGTGAGTCGCTGGTCTTTCCTGTATCGCTGTGTTCTTCTGGCAGAGAGGCTTTAATAATACCCCCTCCAAGTGTTTCATCAAAAAAAATTCTCGTAATAATAACTCGGCATCTTATCAACGCTTTTATAAGACGGACTAGCTTAGCCCCCTTGTCTTTTATTATCTATTTGTGCTACTTTTTTATTTGTGTTTGTCATAGTTTTTTCACTATAATCAACCGTAAAATGTAAATGTGTTCAACTAAAACCCTTCAGATCAGTTGCAAAAGAATAGCGGTGCTCTCAGAAAAGGACTCTGGGTGCAACTCCACATTGAAAACTATTTTCAAATATGCTATCGCTCAGAAAAAGGCGCTATATGTGAACTGAGGAAAATACTGTCAATTTTATTCGTTCAATACTAGGCTACTACTTTGCCACGTGCAAGTATGAGCACTGTTTTTGCGATAATGTACCGTAAACTCCTCACCTGTCAGTTGCTCCTCTAGCTAATTACCTAACATGAATTATCTTCCTCCAACAGTCTGAATCGGACGGACCAGCCTCTCTCCGTCCACCTGTCCTCGTCTCTGGTCTCCGGTGGTCCGGTGTGTGTGTCGATGTGTGTGTTCAGCGCAGTGTGTCAGTACTACAGCGTGCAGCAGAGGCGTTGGAGCAGTGAGGGTCTGCAGCCTCTGGAGGGCAGCACCCTGCAGAGCGCCCACTGCCTCACCCAGCACCTCACCATGTTCGGGGCCAGCATGTTCCTCCATCCCGGGGCCGTGGTGCTGCTGCCGCCGGTACGTGAGACACAAAGCATTACACCGGAGCAATTTCTTCCCTTTCCTGTTGTGTTTTCTGTAGGATTTTGTGCATGTAAATGGTCTGCGAAGGCTAAAATCCCTGAGTTCCCTCCAGAAAGAGTTTCTGCAAATGTTATCCATTAAGAAACTGGCTTTATTGTGTATTAATTAGAAAAAACACCCAGCTTCCTGTCATTTTAATAACAAAAATACAGTTTGAAAAGAATGAGTGAGCTGCCCAACTTCAGTCTTGGTAATGCCAGACTTTTCCTGAATGGACGACAGTGGCTGTGACATATCAAGACAGTTGATGTACACATGACATTAAAGGTGGGGTATGCAATTTATTTCAGGAACCCTTGTTGTTATATTCCATGGAATGCTCTTAACATCCCGATAGCAATGAATATATTAAATGTTTTGACAATAAAATACATAACAAAATATAATCTGTGGAAGCCGTGGTGCTGTAAAAACCACGACCAATCATCTGAGCCGGCAAAAGTAACTGAATGGCCTACCTGCCCGTCAGCCTTCCATCTGTGCACAAACTTATCTCGTGCCCTCATTGGTCATGTGCGCGTTCGTGTGTGTTGGAGGAAGGGCTCTGGAAGGAAGTGGTAGATTTTTTCCGGTTGTTTATTTTCAAATTCTAGCGCACTCGAGCTGGTTTCTCCAAAAATTACCTACCCCACCTTTAAGATGCTGCATTAGAAGCATTACACCAGTGCATTTTCTTTTTGAAACTGTAATATTTGTGCAAATTTTTTTTTTGTGCTAAGCATGGCAAATGTTGAGTTCATTCACAAAGAGAGAAAATGAAAACAAAAATGAAAGGGAAAGTAAATAAAGGGAAGTCTGCATCAGGCTCCTTCATCTCTCTCTCGTCTCTCCTCAGCCGGGGGGTCCGGTGCGTAACCTTCTGGTCGGGATGGTGTGTGCGGTTCTGGTTCTGATCCACCTGCTGCTGGGGCTCATCGCTCACAAACTGGACCACCTGGAGAGAACCAGGCTGAGCCGGGTTCCTCTGTGTGGACGACCGGGCCTCCATCAGTACCGAGTGCTGGTGAAGACCGGCCGCAGGAGAGGGGCAGGTCAGAGGGGACTAACATGTTTTCACATTTGAAAGATTTACTTAAAATGTAATGTGAATGTTCAGTATGTGTGTACTCAAACACATAATAATAATAATAATAATTTAAAAAAAAAGAATAAATCAAGAATAACTATATATTTTTAAAATAATGAATACTGTATTTTACCCATCAGGCACCACTGCACACGTTGGCATCAGTCTGTACGGAGTGAGTAAGAGCGGCGCTCGCCACCTGCGGAGCGACGGAGCGTTTCAGAGAGGAGGCCTCGATCAGTTTCACCTGGAGACAGACGAGAGCCTGGGGGAAGTCTGGAAGATCCGCATCTGGCACGATAACACAGGTAGGTGGAGTTTGCAAAAAATATCCTTTTGATAAAAGAGTTGAATATTGTTTTTCAGTTTTTTGCACATTTTTTGCAAAACCTTTTTTTTGGTTTTTCTATGTGTGTGACTGACACACAGGTAGGTGGAACTTGCGAAAAATATCTTTCGTAGCAACTTAAAATCAGCTGCTGACCAGAGAAAATTACGAGTTAGGCAAATATGCAAAGAAACATAATATCGATATAAATTGTTTTAAGATATTTTTCTTTGAAAGGTGTCCTATCATGCCAAATGCACTTTTTGTATGGCTTTTATACATAAAGATGTGTCCCCGGTGTGTCAGGGAACTCACGCAGCGTTAGAAAATAAAACCCTCCGTACCCAAATCTCTAATACAGGGATACAACGGAGCTGATCCAGATTTGCTGCCGATATGACGTAATATCTGAAATGTGGGCGGGCTTTACACTCACGGCCCTATCAGAGACGTTGCTATCAGAAACAATGCACGACACGTTTTGGACGTAATATGATCTTTGTTTACATTAGCATCGCTAACACTCAGAGCTAACCTGTACTGGAGAGAGCATGTGTAAAGAAGCAGGAAATAAAAAGGAACTCACCTTGTGATAAACCTGAGAGAGAAAAAGCATTTGAACTCCATACTGTTTCAGAAATAATCCTTGATGTGGTTTAGAACATGGCGTTTAATCACGGCAGCATTTAGCTGATTTTCTGGGTATACATTTTTAAAGCTTTAGAACCAGAATCAGCAATTCTCTAACAGGGCTGAAGCAGAGGGATATGAGGGAAGTACTAAAATGCACGATCTGTTTGGTTATTTTGAGACAAAACACTTCATAGACATGTTTTTTATATATTTATATCTGAGACATATAATATTTGATAGGAGACCTTTAACTGAGTGTGTGTGACTTCAGGTCTGGACCCGTCCTGGGTTTGTGGAGCAAGGGTGGGGTCTGGGACCCTCAGACTGACCAGCATGTTCTTCTTCCTGCTGAGGACTGGCTCTCTTGTGGAGAACGCAGAAGAACGGATCCGTGGATAAGGAGGTTCTGGCCCATGTGAGCTTATGGAACTGAATTTAATTATGCTTTTTTTTAATATGCAGTAATTTCATGATCTGCACTCTCCTCTCGGTAATCAAACAAAATGCTTGTTCCTCGCTCTCAGGGTCCCAGAGAAGCTTTCTCAGCTTCGTCGCGCGCGTGTTTTCCTCCCAGCTGGTGTTTGGGATGCTGGAGCAATCACCTGTGGCTGTCGCTAGCGCGTGGGAAACGCCCCGCTCACAGCAGGTTTCTCTCGGGGTCAGAGGGTCACCTGTAGTGCCATGGTGCTGCACTTGTAACCTGGCTCTGGGGCGCGCTGTGGGTACGGGGCCGTGGGCCACACAAGGGACGATGTCAGGAAGGGCCAGGCCTCAATCAAGCAAATTAACATGTCTTTTTCTGGTTTGACTGTGTTTTAGAATTTGACTATTTTTTGAGAATTACTTGTTTTGAAGAATCTGGACTTTTTTCGCAGATTTTTGACTATTTCCTCATAACTTGATTCTTTTTGGAGATTTCACAAATTTTTTGGAGAATTTAATTTTTTTTAGGAATCTGACCTTTCGTTTCGAGAATCTTGACTAATTTTTTGAGAATGGGATTTTTTTTGAGAATGTTGACTTTTTCTCAACTTTCAACGTTTTGTTTGATAAGTTTAGACTTTTTTCCAAATTTTTTCAGCAAAATTTCTAGTTTTTTATTTAGAACTGAAGATTTTTTTGCTCCAGAATACGATTTTTCTAAAGAATTGGACTTTTACCCAGAATATAACTTTTTTTTAAATACATATTTTTTACGAGCCCCAAATGTTCTGTGTTCAGTGGCCCGGGTGTCAGCGCGGCTGCCTGGTGAACATGGAGGCTGTTTCTGTTCGGGATGACGGTCGCTGCCTCTGGTGTTCCGTCTGCAGTGGATTCTCTGTTTCCTCTTCAGAAAGGCTCCACAGTCAGGTGAAGTAATAATCCTGGATTTCTGACGGTTTGTTCTGCGCATGCTGCTGATTAGAGGTCATTAGAGGTCAGCACAGAGACGTGTGTTGATTGAACAAAGATTTGTTTGACACAGTTACGTGTGTGTGTGTGTGTGTGTGTGTGGGTGTGTGTGTGTGTGTGTGTGTAGTGGTGTGTTGTGTGTGTGTTGTGTGTGTGTATGTGTGTGTGTGTGTGTGTGTGTGGAGGGCCCGGTCTCCTCCACAATTTAGGCGCGCGCTCGTCGTTACACATTTATAATGAGTTCACATACTTCCTCATTAATTTTATAATTTAAATATGATTATATGATTTTGTTTCTATTTCTTTAAAGGGTTTTAAATGTTTGTGTTATTTTTTATTTAACTTATAAATATTTATTTATATGTTTATTTTAATTTAAGATATATTCATTTTATTTTAAACGTAACTATAAATTTTGTCAGTTTCGATTTATTTATTGATTTTTATTCTGAATATGCCTTCTTTACTACAGGTGTTTCTTT